AAAGACAAGAGAAATACCCTGAAAACTTGAGTAACTGTGAGCGCTTGAGATGCAGGTGGAACTACCCTGTGTTAGTAGTTCCACATTTGGTATCTCAGATCCAATACATGAAGAACATGATGGTTTGATCTAGCAAAATCATTTGAAAAGACAGTTTATCTATGTTTTTGGGGAGGCAGCAATTTTCTTGTCGCTATGACTAGCGTGAGATGCAAGTCCTTGTAATGCCTGTCCATGCCCTGATGAAGGAGGACTGGTGTGCCCCTCAGTGAGCAAAGCACAGGTATCTGCTGCCCTCTTGGTCCTGCAGAGGAATCCTTCTCTCAGGTTCGCTGTCAAAAACGTCTAGAAACAGAAGATAAGGACCTGAAGCACATGAGTAAAAAGGTTCAAAGGGAAATGAGAATGTAGAAAAGTGTGTTGTGGTAGAATGAGGTGCTTCTTGGCATATATATATAGCTGTTAATATAGATATATATATATATAGCTGAGCTATAACTGGAATGCCTTGCTCAGGCGGCTGCTTAACTCATACGGGAAGAGAGTGGATGGCATAGAGAAATTAATAAGAAGCTCAAGAAGAATAACTGAGGACAGGAAAGGGGGGGTAAGCAAAGGAAGATAGGAATGGAGTCTTTAATTTACCGGCTGTGGGGGGGCTCAAATAGGTGTGGTCCGCAGCACACCCTTGGCCCTCGCTTTCACGGTGTTCCTCACAAAAGGGACTGGCCATCCTTATTGCAGAAGAGTGAGGTCCGTGCTAAAATCTGAGACACTTCTGAATCTGAAAACCTCCTTTGTTGTAAGGTGCGGCTCTTCCGCAAATTCGGCACTGGATATCTACCTACCTAAAATTTCCCCGTGCTTTCAGCTGCAGGTTTTATCCCTAGTTTTCCTCCTGAGTTGTCAGGGTACGTGTGCTGGTAGGCAGCTGCTCCCTTTCAGCCTGGGGCTGTCGCTGTTTCAGTGGTGCTGGTGGGATGGACAGTGCTGCTGTTTGTCAGGGGAGCCCCCAGTCTGGAATACTTCTCTAAAATCAAAGAACTTATAATGTAAATATCAGCCCCTTGGACAGGATCAGTCCGTTCTCCCTCTTAACCAAGAAAGAAAGAAAACCAAGGGGGCGGGGGGGGGAGTCCAACGGGACTTTTCCTGTTCACAGACCTGCTCTGTTATTCTCTGCAAGTTGTTATTTGTGCTGGCCTCCAGCACATCCCTGACCAGAACAAACTGGAAATGGCTTCTATTTCTTATTTGTGTCGAACTGCAGCTGTACTTGGACAGCTTTTTAAAGGTTTGCTGAACTCCTTCAGGAGTTAAACTGAACCCAAAATAAGTACTGCTTCATCTCCCTGTTCCTGAATAGAAGTAATTTTAAAGCCTGAGTAAGGAAGCATCATTAACAAAGCATGACTTCAACCCATAAATGACTGTTTTTCTTTGTATCCCAGCTGAGACATGATCCAATACGCAAGAAAGTCTTTAACAAGAAGCGCAAGCCCTTCAGCTCTTTGAAACAGAGACTGCAGGGAACAGACATCACCACTGTGAAGAAGCAGCCCCCGCAAAAGGTATCGTTAAAATTGAAGCATGTGTGTTACCTCCATATGAAGTCTTTCATTCAGTAACACTATTGTTTCTTCAGGGGACAAAGCCTGGATGTTGTGGATGGGTCTCATATATGTGCTTGACCCTGTGCCAAATTCTTTCCTCCGCCTCCCTGTGCTGCTAGTGTTTGAGAATATTTCTCGGTTCAGAAGCCAAACCAGTAGGTGTCATGACTACTCTGGGCACATAAGTGTCTCTGCACTTCTAGGAAATGTTCATGTATGTATCTTAAAGACTGAGTCTCTGGCAGCTTCCTCTTCACTTAAATCTGAGAGTGTGATCCAAGATGGCTGGTGCATGAATGCCCCAGGTTGTACCTGAGAGCTGTCAGTAGCCCCAAATCTTCCACAGATGAAGCTACGGAGATTCACTGCTACTGAACTCAAGGGTTTAAAAATGCGTTTAACTTCAACTTATTTACAGAGCTGGAGGGGAAGAGGCTTAAGCTCTTACTGGAACAAGGTTTTTTCCATGCATTGTTGGGGAGGAGGGGAATACACGTGGACATGCATGTGTATAATTTTACCCAGAGATGCCAAATCACTGCCGATTTGGTATCCATGCAGCCTGCTGTTGTAAAATGTCCTTTAAAATCAGTTGTGGAAAGAAACAGAAGTGCACAAAGGTTTAAAGGAAGAAGAAGAATCTGACAAGTGGAGGAGAAGGGAAGGCATTGGTCACGGTGTCTTTTCTATTCCCTCTCAAGCGCCCTTTGGTCTGCCACGACAAGAGTGTTTTGTTGGAGGACATTGTTCTTTTGTCCATCTTCCGGTGCTATCAATAGACGGCAAAGGGCTAAATCAGCTTTCCTATGCCTTTCACAAAAAGCAGATTTCTTTTGTTTGTAACGATTTTCCTTTCCCTCAGAACGGAAGAGACCTCACTCTAAGATTTTTCTCTGTCTCTTGCAAGGGGGAAATATAGTTTGTGTCTTCTATTATTTCCATTACAGAAACAGCCAGGGAAGAAATCTAACTGGAGGCAGCACCATGAGGATTTTATTAATACTATTCGATCAGCCAAGCAAGTCACAAAAGCTCTGAAGGAGGGCCACCCTCTTCCGCCTCCTCCCCCACCAAGCATCAATCTAGGTATGTGGTCTACTTTATCTTATTACTGATCTTGAACTGATCTTTGGTTAAGCAGTGACATCTTATTATCCACAGCTGGGCTTCAGTCTTGCACCCCCCAGCACAACACCACATGAACACTAATTCCCTCCGTACTCTCTAATTTTCAGCTGTGTTTCTTGGCTTAAATTGAGTAGGAGTGCAATGCAGAGGTGGTGGGGCAGGAGATGAAACTAACTGTACCTTTTAAGTTTAAAGGCAGCAAGTTTGGGGTCTGATATGTTTGGACCTCCTCCTCCTTTGGGAGGAGGGTCGGGGTGCCTGTGTTCTAGCACAGGCTGTACCACGGTATAATAGAGGATGAAATACTTCCCCTCACCATTCGAAACAACTGTAGTGCACACGGGCTTCCCCCCTCCCATGTGATGGCTTTTCCACTGTCCCCTTCTCCTGTGCAGTTACGGGAAGTCTGTTAGAAAAAGATGGGTCTTGTTTACTACTAATACCAGGTGTGGTCTCTGCACAGAGCTCACCGTGTTAGAAATCACGGATCCAAAAAGATGCACATACAGCCAGTATTTCTCATGATATGTGGTTTATGAAATGTGGGAGGAATCTCGGAAAGGGTCTCAGTGGAGTCCCGCCTGCATTAGAAAGGTGGAGGGAGAGAGGGGGAATGGGAAGGGGGAGGCTCTCTGGGCTCACTTCCAGAGCAGGAATTCGTGAGTGATAGCAAAACCAGCTGCCATAATTCCAGCCTTTCTCCTCTTCTAGATGACAGCGATGCAGTATGAGCAGCAGGACACATCTTCCTTCCTTGATTGGGGTCAAGCTCCTCTCGGAATTACCACTGCTGAATTCTTTAATGACCCTGTTATTTCTTGTCTGACTCTACCGACGCTAAGAGCAGACCCCTCCCTTTCCTTCTCCCTCTTGGAGGAAACCAAGCTGTGCAAGAGCTGCTGTAGTTGTGGAGAAAGGAGTTGGAGAACTGCTTTTTAGGAAAGATGAATTGCTGAGGGGCCTAGTGAGGATGTACATCCTATACTACACAACTGGAGAGAAAGCACTTGGATTGTGGGGAGCAAAGGGAGAGATTCCTTTTCCCTCTCCTCCTCCTCCAAATAGAACCCAAAGTTCCCCGTTCTCCCCTGAAGTGCCAGGTCCCCCTGCAAGCCCCACCAAAGCCAGGCATCCGCCCAGCCTCGTCCTCCCCTCCTGTCTTCAGAACCATTTTGCCCGTGCTGCTGGTCTGGGGCTGGCTGTTGGTGGCTGCTTGGGCCACCTTTTCTGGGCTGTTACTGGGAGAAAAGATTTGTAAAGATGCTGTATCTGTAATATTAGAATAAGGACACTTGGCTGCTTTTGTAAAAGGCACAGGGAGGGGAGGAAGGGTCTGAGGACAGCAAGGGCAGTGCGAGGGCTGAATGTGATTGCCTTGACCCCAAACACCAATCATTCATTGAAAAGAGTCGGTCTGCACCAGTGATAAATGTAGCTGAAGAGTTTTTAGCAGACTGAGGACTATAATGCTGCCAAAAACAACTCTAGGAAGCACTGCTGTATGTTCTTCGCAGTGCTGCTTCACACCCAGAAACCTGGCTCTTGGAGGTGCCTCAGCTGGCAGGACACAACTTCTTAAGCAGTATTTTGTCAATGTCCAAAGGAAATGGATTTTGTGAAAACAACTGACAATCTTAATGACCAATCTTCAAAAGTAGCCTTAAAATCATTGGTTTAGACTACTCGAGGAATTTCTAAATATTGCTTTTTCTGCAGATATGTTAATTGCGAGGTTGGGGATGGGAATAGGAGAAAGATAATAAAATCTGCTTTTATTAATCCCCAGGGATTTATTTCTGAAAGTGATTACTGTTTGCTGGGTTAATACCATAAGCATGTATTTTGGAATCCCAAGTGCTTTTCTAGAGGAGGTTTTTGTAGTTCTCCTAAGTTTGTACTTTGGGAGCTCATGGGAACTCACCATGGTCACCTGCTGATGGAGCCAGGTTGTGAACTACATCTTGAGTGCTCCAGTAAAGTAGGGCAATTCTTCTCCTGTAGCATATAAACTGTGACATGAGTCGTTCCTTTCTTGTGATCAGACTATATTCAGTGTCCACACTGCTCACGAAGGTTTAATGAGGCTGCAGCAGAGAGGCACATCAAGTTTTGTGAAGAGCAAGCTGCCCGCCGTGCCTTTGCTGCAAAGACCACCGGACGGGCTTTGGTAAGCAAACACAGTCACACTCGTCTTGTCCTGGAGGCAGATGTGCCAAACTGTGCTTTATGGTGAGCAAAGACCTATATTAATATAAAACATAAGACTTCAGAGCAGGTTGTAAACTCTTAAGACAAGATATATGCTGAACATCAGCTAGGAGGTCCCCAAAACTGGAGGCCTTTGTCTGATATAAAAAGTGACAGACTATGGTAGTACAAAAAAGTTGGACAACAATTTCTTCAGACTCTTCTGTGATTGGATTCCAGGGTAACAGCTGTAGGGAAGCAGAAACCTGGCAGCTTTTGCACTATATAGAGAAAGCTCTTCCTGTTCATTAGGGCTCCCTGCTGTTTGCAGGTTTGCTGTTCCCTGCAAATGTATAGCTGATTTACTCCCTGGTCACTAGACACAAGGCCAAAGGGCTAAGCCCCTTTGGGGAATCAGAAAAGCGGAGCTAATTGGCAGTGTCTTGAAGTGAGGTCCTCTTTTATTACAGGAAAAAAAAAATAATGTAAATGATTCCTTTAGGAGAGTACTATTTTCTTTTTTTTTTTTTTTTAAAGATGTTTGAAAATCTTATTACTCTTTTCTCTATTTTGGTAAATGGCTTCCAAGTGGGATGGGGGTGCACCTTTTTCCTGTTCCTTCCTAGCATTGCTTCAACAGTGATTTGGAGAGTTTTCACCGGGCTCTGTATGCTCCTTGCTAGAGTTGTGTGGGTTGTGCATCTTTTTTTTACTAGGGCAAGCAGCCAGTGACTCAGAGAAAACCCCCAACCTTAACAACTGCCGTGTTATCGCTTCAGAAGAGAGTACAAGAAGGTGCCAATACAGACAAACCTAGGCCAGGTGAGGCGTTTATTTAGCCATATTTATGTTTTTCTTATAACAAACTCTGATGTATTTGAGGTGGGGGGTGGCATTTTTAAAGGACATCCTAGGCTTTGGAATCCAGTTTTCTGATAGAATAATAAGGTGTGATTTTTTTTTTTTTTTTTTTTTTGCAAGTCCAGGCCTTGACATGAAATCTTAAATTAATTTCCATACAACACTTGTTAGAAATGAGGTCAAAATTTTCCAAGTGGATGTTATTGATATTGAATGACTTTCCAAGTCATTATCCTGATCTGTTGTGCCAAGTGTATACAGAGGTTTTCATGTGGGTCCTCAGGAGGGGCTGCTTAGCTTTTCAATTAGAGGTCCTAGAACAGACATCTCTATATAGACCTAAAATATGCAGTCTGGGTGTGAGCTTCCTTCTGTCCCATAAAGGACTCCATAAGCTTTAATCTTTGATGTTAAGATTTATTCCATCATCTTTAAATTTTCTCAAGTCCATTCAGATGAAGCATGAAGCTGTGTATGTTGTTTGTTCCATATGACTTTCCCCCTGTTGATTCAGCCTTAAAATTAACACCACCACATCCCTAAAAGAGTTCCCTCTAAGCAGGATACCATATAATATGTTTGCTAGCACCCATTGCTACTGGTAATCATGACCCATACTCAGTCTATGTTTAGAAGATGTTTTATAAATTTATTCTAATGGTTATTTGTAGTCTAACCTGTGAATGATAATACATACTGCTCTGTGTATCAATATCTTTGATCCCTACATTTAGAATCATCTGGATTTTATATTGAATTTACATAGGTTATAATTTTTTATGGCCAATAGATTTTTTTAAAATAATGATCTGCAGAGACCTCTCCAGGAACACTACAGAAAACCAAAAAATCTTTGGGTGTATCTACTGGAAAAAAATCTTCAGGACAGTTTGGGTAAGAAATATTTTTTTAATTTCAACATTATAACATAAAAGGACCTAATTTGTTTTTGTGTATATACGATATCCTGTTGCAGTGTTTGCAGTATGAACTTCTTTATATTAATTGAAGCAATCAATTGCACTGAAAACGTTTGCAGAGCTCCTCATGTACCCAGTATAGGCTGCTGAGAATATTTATTTTGGTGTTAAATGTTCTTTGGTTTGGAGCACCTCCATCTCAAGCAGGCAGTGACTGTGTTCTGCTGTAACAGGCATCTTGAGAGGACTTGCTACTTGATAATGCAAACCTCTCTAGCAGGTCTTGTGCTCTCACAATGTGCTTCTGTTGTCTGAGTGAGGAAGATGCCAGCATCCGTTTCAATAATCACTATGTCAGGATGACAGTGTGGAGGCTCTTCCTTCTCCTCAATGTTTACTTTCCCAGACCATGATGTTTGGTGCTTCTGCTCTTCAGACCATGCAGTCGGTGGTGTTCCCATCTCAGGCTATGCAGAGCCATGTCAGAGCAGCGAGAAGGCCTTCCAGCCCCTGCTTAAGGTGGTTGTGGTGCTGTTGTGCAAGGGGCTGGCTCAGATGATCAGCATCTTCCACCCCTGTGACGTGCATATAATTGCAGAATATGAGATCCTGGCAGGGAATGTGGCCAAGACAGATTCCCTGTAGCTGGCAAGATATTTTGAGCCTGGGAGATGAGCTTGTAAGGGTGATTGGAGCGTGGGATGAACAGTAACATGCACAAAACAGTCTGTTGCAGAGGCTCACGTTCAAAGTCTTTGTTGGGTTCTTCTATGTGGAGTTTTGCTGTCCTCAATTGCTGCTTATCAGTGGCAAAGTACCTTCAAGTGTGGGGAAGTCTGCAGTGGGCATGGGAATGTTCAGTCCACACTGCCATCATCAACTCTACCTACCTCCTTGACTTTGCCAGCTACAGGAAAAAACATTGACAGTACCCAGCGGTCTCATCTGGTGTTCTCTACGAATTACCTGTGACTATGTCCACAGGGTAGTAACTCTTACAGTTATCATGCAGGGTCTTGCAGACCACCAACAGGGATTTATTGATACCATTGCCATTCTCAAGGTTTAGCTACTGAACTCTGAAACTCGGGGCTTGGCAGGCTTGGGGAGACTTACCGAGGCTTGGGACAGCCGGTGCCTCCAGCAGGTCCCCAGGACAGGCATCCACACTAGCGTCCAAAATATAGGAGAGAGTCCTGCATGTCCCTGGGAACTGTGGAAACGACTGGCCTGGGTGAGCTTGTAGATGCTGGGCTGTTGGCAACTGCTGCTGCATTTTCTGTAAAACGAGCTTCGCCAGGGGCTTTACAGAGCACTTTGGGCTAGTGAGAGATCAATTTCAGTGCAAAGCAAGAGTGCTTTTTAGCTGAGAAAGCAGACATGGGAAACTGGCTTTGAGTGGTGCATCTAAACATTCTCATCCTTAAAGTGTCTGGAAATGATTTCCAGGATAAGCTGCTCCATCACCTTCCCAGGGATTGAGGTTTAATCTGCTTAGGCAAAATGGAGTAAAATATAAAAGCTGTTTCTATGCAAATAACAAGTATATGGCTTGTTGCTGCTTTCAGACCATAAATGTGCACCAGGAAATAGAGTGGCTGGTCAGCAAGGATGCGTTAAGGTTTTCTTCTGAAGCATTATGGAAGACCTTAAGCAACACAATTTTCCAGCACCTCTTCCACTCCAAGTGCTATAGCTACCACATTCAATAAAATAAGCAAACTGAAATTCACTGTCTTTTTTTTTTCCCCCTCTTTATTTTGCCCCTAGGCTACAAAGTTTATTATGCTGTCCTTTTTAAAGTTGTGAGATTTGTATATCAGTTGCCAAACTTTAACTGATGGCCTAAAAGGAGAGGGATGTTACCAGTGTTTCATTCAATGGTTTCAAGAAAATGTAGCAAGATCCAATATCATGGTGGGGGTGGGGTGGGGGTGGTGTTTGGTGTCCGCCCCCCCCCCCCCCCCCACCCCCGCAGTGCTTTGCTTTTATATATTGAACAAGACAAATGAACATTTTGGAATTTTGTGTATATATTTAATAGACTCTTCCAGTAAACAATACATGATAAATGGTAGTGATTGATAAGTGATAAACAGCCGTGTAAGCTGTGCACCAGCTTCAAAGCACTTCAAGTTCAGACTAACTAAAACCAAATTTCATTCTTCCATTAAAAACTTCAGTTGCTTTTAGAAATCAATTAGCAAGACAGAGATGTCATGGAGGCATATCTTCTTATTTTTTGGCCACCTGATTTATCACCAGCCTTGGATCACCTTGCATAAACTTTCAGTGTTGCAATACATTGGGCTGTTTGGGTTTTGTTGTTGTTGTTGTTGTTGTTTTGGGGTTTTTTTAGCCCAACAGTTCCCAAGGCTTTCAATTAAAATGTGTAAGGAATGTTCTTGCCCATTAAATGTTTATAGAGTAAATGAAGATGAAAAGTAGTTGGACACAGCAATAATAAATACCAGACTTTACAGAGTTTAATTAAACTCTGCTTAGCGTGTAGCTAATAGTGACTAGATAAATATAGAAAGGATGACACTGAAACAAGCGTCACTGCTATAGCTAGCCTGTCTTAAAAACAATGGGCCCAAATATACTAAAGCAGTGCTTCTTAGCCTTTTTTTCCAACCCAGGAAGGGCGGGGGGGGGGGAAGCCCATACCAGACTATCCTGTGTGGCATTTTCACAATTGCTTTTTTTTACAACCAAACAAATGAACCCTTAAAAGTCAGAGCAAGTTTTACTGTGTTTGCTTCCCCCTGCACCATTATTTTCTATCTCTGTGTAGAGCTGTTTGGTATTGATTTCACAGATCATTTTCCCATGTCTTACAGAAAACGTAATGATAGGGACAGGAACACTGTATTGAAGAAGAGTACTTGAAAATTCTGCTAGCAGAAAAATGAATCAACAGTTAATATATGGAACTTACCATCCTATTTCAGACTGGCTGGGAAAAACTCTCAGGAATTAGGGCAACTCATTGGTTAAGAAAATGGGGAGTCCCAACAGAAACTGTTGGTAAATAAACCCAAAGGAATAAGAAATTAACATAATTTCTTATAGGGGATGGGAAATGAGCACTAGAAATAGCTGTGTTTACACAGAGGATGCAGTCTTTTGTTCCATGTAGTACAATTTTAGCTCCTTATTTCAGCAGGTTTACATGGCTTCTTAAAAAAAAAAAAAAAAAGTACATTTTTTCTATGAGACCAAATGTTTACTAAGTTTCTCTATTTTATGGTATCACTTGATTATAATAATTTTGTTGTTTAGTTGGCATGTATCACTCTGCTTCTGCAGCCTTTGAAGCAGTGTTCAGAAAAGAGTATTTTTAGCTCTGCTATGATGTGAGGTAAAATATCCTAAGAAAGATCTCCAGAAGGGTCAGTGCTTGAACCGGGTCAGATCTTTCTGTTCTGTCTCTCAGCTGCTATGCCACGGTCTGTCCTACTGTCCCCAGGCCACCTCTCTGCCCTTGCAACCTCCTCTCCCATTTGGAGGAGGAGCGGGCTGCGCTGGAGAGGAGGGAGGACCGGCCACTGGTGGGGCTGCCTTCGCCTTCTTCCTCCACCATACCCCCGGCGTGCGCGGGGCCGTCTCTCCCCACACCGGTGCCATCGCAGCCCTGCATGAGCCGAAGGCAGCGCCACCAGACAGACGTCCTGCAGCCCTTGCTGCCTTCTCCACCACTGCTGCCTGAAGTCACACCTGCCCACCCAGCGCAGCCCCATCCTCTTGGACACCACAGGTAAGCCCGGGGAGAGCTGGTGAGGACGTGCTGCTGTCTCCACACCTCTCCTTTAGCTGCCTGCGATCTGAACCCCACCAAAGCCAAACTATTGCTCTGTCAGAAATGCGATATTCGGGCCCACAGCAGGCAGGTCTGCTGCGCTCCAAGAATTTGTTTGCCCAGAAACAAAGCATTTGTGAGCCTCAGCTACTGATGGCCTCTCAAAAATGCTCACAGAAGTACCCCTGACAAAAGCTACAAAAAAGTCCAGCCCTACTGTAAGTATTACATGACTCGGGGTATATCCCGAGTTGTGAGAATTTTAAAACAATTTTTCTGCAAACATAAGCTTTTGAAATAACTTGCCTTCCTTTGTGATGGGACATCAGCTTCCTCTACATTTATGATGTCAAGAATCGGGAAAAAGAAATCTGAATGGACTGGAGGGTTAAAGCTGCAGTATTACACATTTAAGATTTGCTTCTGTGTTTTACTTGTAGACACTATCATCGTGTGCTTTTTAAGCATTTTAATACCAAAAGTGGTTATTTTCTTTTTACTTGAACATGACTTGGTCTTTAACCTGTAGTTACATACAATAAGCATCTCTTGCCAACACATCCTTCCACTCTTCAGAAGAGGCTGAGGTCAGGCAGCAGCACCTCTCTTTGCAGCTTGGAGCTCAGCTGCTACAGTCGAGCAGCTCAAAGAATGTGAGCACCAGTCTAGCTCAGTGTTTGCATAACGTTTTCTTCTTAAAATCATGTTTTAATTCAAAGACAAGTATTTCAGTAATTAGTTACACCTCTTACAGAAGCAGAAACCAAAATGACAACATGTCTATTAACAGTATATGATCAGGCAGTGCTACAAAACTTGTGGTTTGTTTTTTGTTTGGTGTGGTTTTTTTTTTTTTTTTTTTTACAAGTACATAAGCTTGGATGAAGCCAAGTGAATACAATTTGCATGAACAAGGAAAACAATGCAGTAAGTGAATATACACACACACACCTTTCCAAGTCCGGATGAAAATATGAGCCTAGCTGCAGAATGTGCATGTAACATTGTTTGCAACCTTTTCCCTATTCTGGAACTCGTAATTTAAATAACCGCTAACTAGGCATGAATGTACAGCACCTGCTCTTCCTCCTGCTGTTGTCATTACAAGAATGGTCTTAAAATTCCTTCTGGTTTGCCTTATGCCAAAAATTTTCATAACAAAAAATACCCCTCAACAGTGTATCTGAAGAACATATTCTTGCATGAACTGCAACAATACAACCCTTCCTTAATCCAAGTACTGATAAACTTGTAAGAATATTCGGATCATTGTAGTTGTACAATGTCAGTGTAGTTCATTAACAGCAAACCAGCAGCCACTTACTTAAAAAATATTTTTTTTTTAAGCTGTCTGGAAATAATCCTGTGATTCATGGGGGAGAAGAGAACATGCTTGCTTCACGCTATACTTGCAATGATCATGAGGTGCTATTAACGCTCTTCGGATTTAATGGAAGAGTAGCTCTCTGGGTTTGAGAATTTACTCAGATTCAGAAATCCTGTGTCTGTTTTAGCTGCAACAGACTCCGTTAGTAACTGCATCATTCACTAAACCCAGGATTTTTCTTTTTTTTATAACTATGGGTTTGGCAAGAAAGTAAATTGTGAAGAGTTTGGCGTTTGTTTTTTTTTTTTTAATAATGTATCTACTGGGAGATGTGATTTTTGCAATTTCTGCTAGTTCATGCCTCAGGTGATAGGACTGTCACACCAACACACTGTTAGCTGGAAATGTACATGGACAATTTACCCCAGAAAACAAACAAAAGTCCCTGTGGTTCTGGTTTAGAAGAAACAAAGGCTGGAAGTCCAACAGCAGTTGTCCCAACTGAGCAAAACCCCTGTGATTAAAATGGCCTCGACCATTATCACACCCACTAATTTCAGGCAACACTTGTGAGGCAGGTTCAAAACGTGGTTTTGAACAGTGCCTGGTGTCAGCTCAGCACCACAACCCTTCTGTGCATGGAGCTGCCCCTCGCCCCACGGAGGTCCTGCTTGGTTGCAGGCTCCCCTGGCCCAGGGCTGGCTTTCCGTGAAGGAATCCACATTTCAGATGGCTACGATTAATAATCATTTCCCAGACTAAACAAAGGGCATTTTTATCAACAAAAGGGGAGTAGAAGTCCCTTAGGTAGGAAGCATTATTTTTTTATTGAGTGTTGAATCAAGCAAGCTGTTGACCCAATGGGATAACATGCTTAAATTTAAGCAAATGCTTAAGTGCTTCGAGAGAGACAGACAGCTACCAGTGTCTGCTACCTTGCCAAATCCAGCTCTAAGTGAAAATTAATCTTTTGCTCTAACCTTTGAGACAACTCACTTCGCATTCTGAAAACTGCAAATACACAAGATACCAATTCTTACACAGTCATGCAGAAGTGGTAGTTATTTCCAGCCCAGCCCTAGGAAGAAGTGCAGGAGATGCACACAGCTGAAGTACACTTCAGAAAACAAAATCTAGTTAAATGTAATCACAATAGTGATCATCATCATTCAAAAACAGCGAAACAAGGAGGTAAGATTTACCTTGGAATGATTCTGATTTAAATTAAAGATTCATCAAGTTCAGTAATTAAGTGCTTAACAGAAATCTGTGAAGTTGAAAAATCGTTTGTTACATTTGCCATGTGTATAAATTTGCTGTGATTTATGGCTCATTAAAATTATTTTTCTGTGATTTCCCCCTTCTTCCCATTCGCCTTAACCCTATTTCTCCTAGTGCAGCAGCTGTAATTTTATTGTGTCTGTTATGATGCTTTGCTATCACTGAAGATATTTATTCAGTTGTTTGCGTGAAAGGTAAGAAACAAAAATATAGAGGGTGTTGAGGGAAATATGTTAGTCCTACTATTGTCATATGCTAAAAACCTAATAGTAGTATGAAAAATAGAGCTTCTTGTTTATTAACATCCTGAATTTAACTAACATGTTCATAATGTGCTTTGAAAACATTTGGGGCAGTTCTTAAAACAAAGCCAAACCAAAACCACCCCATCCTAACAGATTTAAGAAAGAAGCACAGTCTTAAAGAAGGAAAAAAGCCCACCCACGGTGATAGTTATTTGAAGGCATGGTGAAAATGAGGCAACGTAACAGAATTTGTAGTGGATGGAAAGGAGCGAGGAAGATGATGCAGCTGGTTTAAGGCCATCCCACCAGCTGTTAGCTGAAGACCTTGCTGTTGGCTGAGGCCATTCAGCCTGTGTGATGATTCCTCTGGACCAAATGTCATTGTGATGTCCCCAGTAGTGTTCTGGTTGTCACCTGGTGGGAGCTGCCAGAAACTCGTCACATGAGTGAGATCCATGAAAGGCAGGCTCGTAGTTTCAGCTGCTGCCTCTGTCTCCTTGTGCACTGGGTACTTGTTAGTATCCCCTACAGGCCCTGAGGAAGCTTCTTCCAGACTGATTTTGTGAAGAGATTGAGGTTCTGGCAACGGCAGGTCCTCAAGAAGATGCACATTGTAACCTTTAACATCCACTTTTATTGGCAGATTCTTGAGGGATCCTGGTGCAAATGAGGTAGAATTAAGGTCGTATTTATTAGGCTGATGGAGATTCAGATTGGCAGGAACGGCTGTCGAGCACGGTGTGGGATGCACAGCTGGAAGGCTGTCTGCACAGCCCATCCTTTGCAAATGAGGAGAAGATTCAAGAGGAAGAGCAGTTTGTAAGCTTGGCTGGGAATGAAGATGTGAACAGTTGTATCCACCTGATTCTGAACTATTCAAAATCCCATTCTGCACAGAGACCCCTTCAGGAAAAGGGGACAGTACGCTGGCATCTTCCTTCAGTCTGAATGGAAAAAGCTGGTCAAGGAGACCCACTGAGTCACCGTTCTGCAACCTGCTCTTCAGCAGTTCTTGTGGATGAGTCTTCCTAGTATGGCGAGTCAAGTGGTCCTTCCGCCCAAACCTCTGGGCACAAAACTGGCACAGAAAGTCTTTGCAGCCTGTGTGAACTACCATGTGACGCCGCACGTCTTTACGGGTATAGAAGTGACGCTCACAGTGGTCACACTTATGTTTCTTTTCCTTGGTATTGCTAGTTGGTTTTCCTGCATGGCTTTTGAGGTGTTCCAACAAAACTTCAGTACCGCCAAACTCCTGGGCACACACCCTGCAGGTAAGGTCCCCACTGGTGGCTGCATGAAGAGCCAAGTGTCTCTTATAGCCTAGCTTGGTGTTGTACTTCTTGCCACACTCTTCACACTTGAAGGCCATCTTGTTAGGGTCATGAGTCTGAAGGTGATTCTTTAGATGGTCTTTCCTGTGAAAGGTCTTTTCACAGTAGCCACACTGGTGAGATTTCTGTGGAGAATGAGTGGCTGAGTGCCTAAGACCAGAAAAAAAAAAAAAGGTTATTTGCATTTACATTCACTCTAGTACACAGTGCAGCTTCAGTGAAAACACTGGCACTCTTGAAGGAAGGCATTTTCACAAGTTCTCAGATTATTAGTAAAAGCCTAACTTTTTGGAGGGTGAAGGTATTAATCATAAAGAATAGAGTAGGTTAAAATTGCTTGACATAATCTTTTTGAGTAGCCACTGCAATTGGGGGAGATTAGTTTTCTCCAATTCTATCAAACCAGGAACAATAAAAACTGGAACTCAGGCATTAACTGTCACCAGGACGCTCAAGAGGAAAAACGATGTCCTCGTTTTCTTCCCCATGCACCCACCAGGAAAGGAGTGCCTTCAGAGCTGTACCTGAGCAGTTTATATTTGGAAATGAAGGCTTTCGTGCATCCGTGCTGTGAACACTTGTAGGGGCGCTCCCCTTTGTGCGCGTAAGTGTGGACTGTGAGCTTGTCAATGGAATCAAATATCTTCCCACAGAGTCTGCAAGGGTAACTGTCTGTCTGCTTCACTTCTCTTCCCTTCAGCAGTGAAGACCGGCCATTTCTCCATTTAGGTATAAACCTCACAAGAGCATCACAATTGCTTCCTGAGCTGGCACA